TATCTGCTAACTGGAGAGTGTGAATTGCTGCTATTACCACCACCTCTTGCTGTGTTCATGTCAATAACGCAGGGCAGGTATACACCTAGATGAAGAAGATCCACACTCAGGTGAGATGGCTGTTGTCTTTAAACTATAACCCTCTAACTACCTTTAAAATTTTTCATTAGTTGTTTTCATTCAGGAACTTGAAAGTTTGAGGTGAAGGCTGTCCCATGGGGAATACTCTGACAAAATGGCAGAGGCTCTTTGAGCACAGTACATCCATATGAATTGCTCAGAAGCTATACAAGAACTAATTGCACCTTCCAATTAAGGTGGGTGAATATCTTGGTGGATTTAATATAATTTATTTGATGCTTCCTTGGCTACAAAAAGATGGAAGGTAAATCACTAGAAAAGACAGTCAAACACGGAGTCTCTTACTGCCCTACACGATCACATTAGCGTGAACTCTGGCTTAGGATTTTTTCTTGCCAGGAAATAAAAGGCTCAAAAAGCTTGTGCTCCATCTTTTTAAGTGCATCCTTTCCCAGTTCAGATTCAGGATGCATTTTTTGTGCCTAAATATGTGCATCAGTGATCCTAAAATGTACTCTTAGTTTTCAATATTTCAAACTCCAAAGGAGAAAGACAAAATATTCCATAGCACACAAACGGTATGTGCAAGCCAGTGGCCCTGGGCTGCCTGCCAGGAAAGACCTGCTTGACATGAATGATGGATGTGCACTATCAAAGCTCTTTTTGTTGTCCCTCTTCTCTGGGTAACAAAAGCTTTGTTCTACCTACTGCTTGACACAATGAATTTTCCTTGGCAACTCAGACGTTACGTTACAGTGGACAGATGTGTTTGGACTTCTATGAAAAGTGATTAATATACGCTGTTATTAATAATAGCTGTTTGCTATTCTGCATGTATACAAAGCCCATCTCTGGCATTGGTTATTAGGTTCCTTTCCAATTCCATTATTGTATAAGTAATCATACCATTTCTTATGTTTAATCTTTTTATGCTTATTGATTTCTTATTTTCTTCAAATACGTTTCCTATTCAATGATAGATAGATAGATAGATAGATAGATAGATAGATAGATAGATAGAAAGAATTGGGCCTATAATTGATAGGACTCAAACAGTGTCCAACATCAGATGAATGAATAAGGAAAATGTGATATACAAACTCATACACACACCGTTCTATCTATATAAAGCCATATGGATCCTTTGCAATAATATTAATCTGTGTAAAGGAATGAAATCCTGCTATTTGCAATGAAGTAGACTCAAGAGGAGAATATCATATTGAATGAAATAAGCCAGACCAAGAAAGACAAATACCATATGTCCTCTTGTGTAAGTGATAGCTAATTTTTTTAAAATGAAAAAAGAAATGTCTGTCTGGAAATGAATGATGGAAGTTATACAGAAGACACATGGTTGAAAATAAAGTTGCTATTATTGGTTCTTAGGAATACTTTTTTTAAATGATCTATTTTTACTGCAAAGTTAGGTCTATAGAGAGGAGCAGAGACAGAGAGGAAGATCTTCTATCCGTTGATTCACTCCCTAAGCAGCCACAATGTCTGGAACTGAGCCAATCCGAAGCCAGGAACTTGGAGCCTCTTCCAGTCTCCCATTTTGGTGCAGGGTCCCAAGGCTTTGGGCTGTCCTTGATTGCTTTCCCAGGTCACAGGCAGGGAGCTGGATGGGAAGCGAGGCTGCCGGGATTAGAACTGACACCCATATGGGATCCTGGCACTTTCAAGGCAAGGACTTTATCTGCTATGCTACTGCATCAGGCCCAGGAATACTTTTAAGAACAACATAAATTGTGACCTTTTATATGTTTTAAAGTATTAATTTCAAATTAATATGTGGAAACTTCGCAACTTCTGTGATTTCATTTAATGCTATAACTTAATTATCTAATTTTCCCAGCAAAGAAAATGCAAGCAAAAATTACAAAAGTTCCTCAGTGATTCCAAACAGGTCAAAAGTGGATGGTTTTATATGCAAGCATGTAAAGTCTAACCATGAGCAACGCAGCCTCTTTATCTGAATACTCTTTATGGAGCATTCCTCCATAAAGACACCTGTGTATCAGTCAACAGCTTTGGCAGGCACAGGTACTAGCAACCATTGGTATAGATAATATCTGTACCTAATATATGTTAGTAGCTGTGAGACTGGCGGGAAGCAGACAGCTAGCAAATGGAAGCCTGAACTGTGGAGCAAAAGCAAAGCAGGTGCTTCTTGCTAACTACTGCTGAAGGATGAAATGGGGAGCACAGAAGAGGCATACTTGTACTGAGTCTAAACTTGGACTCATGCACATCAGCAGGCTGGGATATTATAATTTGGGTGTATTTATAAGTGTGCCTCACTTCAAGGTTAGCATTGAGTGTAATCCTAACCCTCCACCTGTGGTGCCAGCATTTAATATGGGCACAAGTTTGTGTCCAGGCTGTTCTACTTTCCAACCCAGCTCCCTGCTTATTGCCTGGGAAAGCAGTGGAGGATAGCACAGGTCCTCGGGCCCCTGCACCCGCATGGGAGACCTGGAAGGAGCTCCTGGATCTCAGCTTTGGAACAGCCCAGCTCTGGCCATTGCAACCATTTGGGGAGTGAACTAATAGATTGAAGATCCTTCCCTCTGTCTGTTTCTCTGTGGCTCTTTCTAAGTAAAACTTAAAAAAAAAATCTTTTAAAAAAAATTGTGCTTTTTTCATTGCTATATGGGTAGGTGATTTGGGGCGATAATTGTATTTCAGTTTCATCTCATTTTTAAGTTTTTTTATTGAGATATAGTTAACAGATATAATGCTACCACTTGTTTAATGGATGCAACTTCTTGAGTCTCTGAAAAATATTTATTCATGTAACTCCTTAATTTTAAAGGCCCTACATGTATCCATCAGCTCACGAAAGTATTTTTCTAGAACCTCTGTTTGTAGTAATTTGTAAATACATGGTAAGAATACTTAGCATAATACCCAGCTTCTTAACAAATTTTAAACATATGATGCATTTTCATTTGCTATGAGTCTATGCTGTAGATTAGATCTTTAGAAATTATCTATATAGTTCAAATTGATTTAAAATTTGACTGTGATTCACTCATTTCTTCCCCTTCAAAGACACTATTTTGCTTCTAATAAGTAGGGGCCAACAGTTTGGTGTAGTGAGTTAACACGGCACCTGTAACACCAGATCCCCGTATTGGAATGATAGCTCAAGTCCCAGTTGCCTCATTTCCTGCTCTGCTCCCACCTAACGCTCCTGAGAAAACATCAGAAGATGGCTCAAATACTTCAGTCCTTGCCAACCATGTAGGAGATACAGGTGGAGTTCCAGGCTCTTGGCTTTGCTTTGACTTTGTCCAGTGAAAGCATTTGTGGATACCTGTGGAGCTAACCCATGGATAGGAGATTCTAGTTCTTTCTCTCTCATCTCTCTTTCAAATAAGTAAGCAGATACATACTTTTGATCTAAATAAGAAATCATTTTCTTGTGCTTAACAACTGCTATGCACTTATACAAAATTCTGCAGTAAATTTTAATCCTTCTGAAAAAGACTGTAAGGCCCCTAATTGTCTGATTCCAACAAAATGATCTCATCTATATTAGGGAAATATACTAGAATATTAGATAATTTAGAATCTGTCATATTCTTTTGGATTACTAGTCAAACCACACTAAAATTTTGACAGTTTTATGAAGCACACAGTACATTGCCGTTTTTATTTGTAGTTCCTTTGCCTGGAACACTTTTCTACCAGAGATTGCCTGACTAGTTGTTTTTTTTTTATTATTATTATTTGTTTTGTAGTGTTTTATTTTGGTTTTATTCATGATTTAGATTGTATATAAAAAATTAATTTGGCATATTGGCTCAATCTGTGCACCATTTTAGAAATAGCAAACCCTAATTGGAACCCTTTTCCCGATCCAATTATTAATTGAATCACATAACATTGTTTTGTATATAATATTATTATTTAATTATTATCCCTCAGTGCCCTCTCCATCAAAGAATGCTCTGTAAAGATGGGAAATTTTTATTTGGTATTTTCACTACATTTTGTCACATAACATCACATCAACCACATGACAGGCTTCCCATAATTATTTATTGTGCATGCAGGCCACTATTTAAAACAAGTAATTTGGGGAAAACTTTTACAGTATATTTTGGTAGGTGACTTCACCTCTCTTCATCTACAAAATGTGAAAAAAAAGCATTTACTCAGGCTTGCTTTGGAGATTTTGTGAGTTAGTATAAATAAAGTTCATAGAAACTGTCAGGCCCACAGATTTCAAGATTTGTTGTTATTCCATTATCTCATTTATAATACACATCTTATTATACAACATCCTATTACAATCTAAATTTCAAATATCAAAAAGGAAAAAAAAAGTAAGTAAAAAAATGAAAGTAGTGTAGTTCAGCGTCGAATGAGATGAATGTCTTTATGAAAATCAGCCCAATTATGGGAGGGGGTGGTAGCTTTCATGTGGGGGATACTAGGAAGTTTCCATGGAAGCAGTATCTGAAGAAAGTACAGAGAACACTTTGCTCAAAGATGAAACAGAAATATATGTCTTTAAGAATTAGCATTTCTGCCATAGAAGAAAGTAGTTGAATAAAATCATATTTTCTTTACTAGACACAGGCAAGTGTAAGAAAACACAGAAAACAATTTTATGCCTAACTTAATACTAATGTGATCGGAGTTGGCTTAAGATTGTTTTCCACTTGAAGAACTTGGGTTTAATCCATAATTTCTCTGTCAGGTAGACTTGTTTTCCTGCTTTGGAATCTTCAGGGCTGTGTTCACTGGCCAACTCGCTTCCATCATTAGAAAGGAAACTCCCATGTGAGCTGTGGGGAAAAGGGAGATCTTAGTCTCAAGGAAGGGAAACTAAAGAGAAGCCAGAGAAGGAAAAATAGACCAGAGGAAAAAAGACCAAGAGGTTGCAGACACAAAGAATGCAAGGCTCACCTCTGCTTTACAAACCCAAACTCAACTACAACCAACACAGCCAGAATGGCCATTACGGCCAAACACATCAGTATCAGCAGAATGGAGTGTCCACCTGGTTTGAGGAGAGTAAGAAGTCAGATCATGAAACAATTTCACCAAGGGAATGCTTCTCAATCCAAAGGGCAGGTCCTTCTTAGAGTTTCCATTTTTACATTATAGAACTCTGCTGTAAGTCACTCCTGAATAAGGATCCCTCTACCACCCCACCCCAGGTACTTAAACAAAATCACCAGGTCCTCTTAATGATTTCTCATGCTTGCATTAGATTTCCTTGGAACTTAACTACTTTAATTCTCACCTTTTTTTCACTTGAGTTTTCATTTTTTGAACTTCTCCACATAACATTACTGCCCATTTTCCCACTTGTTCTTCTAAAGCTCTAATATGATGTCCCTCATTTCTCAACAGGACCCAGCTGCTCCTCACCCCAGGGAATGACAATGTCATGGCCTTTGAGGCTGCTGTGCTTCACTCGACAGGCCAGGCCAGCTGCCTCTCCAGCCGCCACCTCCAGGGTTACTCGGAGATACCACGTGCCATCAGCATTGGGCAGGACATCACCTAATCGAGTCCGTGTCTGCTGCTTTTCACCTCGCATCCACATCACCCACACAGGCTTGGGGTAGAAGCCGGAGACATGGCACACCAGCAACAGACGGCCAGGCCCAGGGCTGGGGCCTTTGGACAGCCAAACCTCGGGCCTCACTAGACAGAAGAACAAGCAGAAATCCTATTGCAGGGAGCAGGAGAGTATTCAGCCTAGGGCAGAGATCAAGGAATCAGGTGCTTTAGAAGTTTGAGTAATTACCTCTTCGTCTTCATTGAGAAAAAAAAATCACCATGCATCTAACTGTTTCTCCATCCTCACTATATGTTCAAAATGTTAACTGGAAGTGGCAAATTCAGACAAGAAGAATTAAAACACTGGGAATATGAAGAAAGAACAGAGTAGGACTCACCTTGCTGCTCCAGTTCTGACTTCCCTTTTGCAAGGAGGCTTGCCAGAAATTCTGGGCACGTTTTGCTGACAAGCTGCTGTTCAATTTCTTCAATGCCTTTGTACTGATTGAGTACTCTACAAACATCTTGGGCACGACTTCCTGCTCCAGGGGCTGGCTGCCAGGAACCTCCTTGTAAACTCAGGAAATCTGATCCTTGATATGCTCCATATAAGAAACTTTCTGAGAGGGCTCCAGCTCGCAGTGCACATCCACAGGACAACTGGATCTCAAAGGGGTCTGGTGGTAGAAAAGAGAGAATCAATATAGAGATAGAGACAGATAGAGATAGATATACAGCATAGAAAGGGCAAGAAAGCCATCTAGAAGTTAAACAGATACAGGGAGATAATCTATGGAAATCATGGGGGCAAGCAGTGTCCCTGTGGGAAATGAAAAATAAATTTGTAGAAAAAAAGAAACCATTTTGAGATGATTATTGGGGAATATATTAGAGGGACCATTATTAAGATAGAAGATGCTTCTGGAAAACTTAGAAAGATGTTCCCATTCCATGTCAGACCATGTGACCCTTGAGTCTAAGGGAATACTATAAACATCTGGTTGGGAAAGGTAGATTCTGACTGTTGTTGATGTTCAAACGTTCAAGATACAATAATTCTTAGCAGAGAGAGCATGCAAATGTCTTCAAGGATATGAACGCATGTGCAAAGAGGTCCTTCTGTGTACGTAGCGGAGCTGGTGGGTTTGAAGTAGGAAGAGGAGAGTGAATATCAGCCCGAGAGAAATCACGAATAAGGTCAGGAAAGGTAAAAGATAGTCAGCATCTACAGCTTCTTCATCCTTGGGGAAAAAAACTCACATTCAAACTGAAATCGGTTCACAAAGGCTTGCACTTCTTGAATGAAACCATGGAGGTATAACCGGAAGAATGACTGGAAATTCTTCAACTCCACCTGGCTGAAGTTCCCACGAGACCATGGCTTCAGAAAACGAATGGTGCCCATGGCACTGTCCCAGCTGTGAGTCTGGATCTCACCCAACCATCCTGAGCCCTGGTTGTATGCCCAGCTGTGGTTGACAAAGGAGGAGATCTGGATGACGCGGAAGGTAAGCGGCTCTTGTGCAGCTGGAGGATGGGGCCTGACAGCCTGGGGAGCTGAGTGAGAAGGGATGGCATGAGGAGGAAGTGTAAGGGATGAAAAAGAAGATGCCACATGGGGGAGAGAAGACCCAAGAGGTAAAGTTACAAGATTGCTCATATTTCAATCCCCTCAACCCTCTGGACTAACCTCCACGCCAGCAAATCCCACAGAACACTTGAATTCTTGAAATGACAGGCAAGAATTTTCATCCTGGACCTAATCTGACATGCAGATTCTAAGGGCATCTCATAGTTTCCTCCCCCCATTTCCTGCCCAGAGTTCCTTTACCCTTCCTGTGTCTGATTGGTACCATTTCCATTGAGCTTTCTTACCGGTTGTGCCTTTCCCATGGCACTGAAGTCCATTATGGAGCAGCAAGGACCTGAAGAGCAGGAGCAACATAGAAGTTTGAAAGACTTTCCAGGATGAAGTGCCCAAAACACTCAAGATCCTGCTGCCTTTGTAGATCTGCTCACGTCTGATCTGCCTTCTGTTGCAACAAAGAAATCCTCTCCTACTCACTTCCTTATATGGGAAAGCCCACTGCCTCCCTGCCCACAATCTCCCCCTTAGTCTCTCATTTCTCCTACATCTCTCTCTCACTCTCTCTAGACTTTTTCTTGGCATTTGCAATGTCTCATCTATGTAATGACAGAAGTTGCTTAGCATGCCCACAGCCTTTCTAGTGGCTTCAACTCTCCCCATTCTCCACTAATCTTACTCACTTGTCTCCTGCCTGGCCTCCCAAAACTCCATGTCTTGGTCTTTACTCTTACTTCTCTAAGCATCCAAAGTCATTCCTGTAAATAAGCTACTTCTGCTCTTCTTACTTGTCTTCTGGATTCCTTCTGTTCCCTTATTTTCTTCTGTATGTGCTCATTTTACTCTTCAAAAAATCATAACAGGTATCTGGGTACAGCTGTGCAATTCACAGGAAATTCTCTAAAATCCATGATGGAAAGGTGACACCTGTAGGAAAGTTGCTTATCCAGTATTCAAAAGAAAATGCCCATTTCCCCGGTTTCCCCATGAAGTCAAATACCATCACGAAAGGTCTCCATGAATGGTCTTCAGTCATGCTGCATGGGTTGCCCTGGGTCCTTGGACACATGATCTACACCAGAGAGCTGAGCAAATCTAGAAGTCAGTTCACCAGCCAGGACAGGCAGGCATTTACAAAACTTTCCTGTCCAACATAATAGTAAAAATGGGAAAAACTGAAAAACAGTCTTCTAAGACTCAGTACAAGACAAATATATCTCTTCTCACCACTTCACTTAACATGATCCTGGACGTACTAGCAATAACACTAATACACTGAAGTAAGCATACAACTATGAAAAGAAGAGGTAAACCATCTGTGAATATGACATGAACCTATGTGTGTCAACCCCAAAACTGTTAGAATCACTAAAAGAATTCAGTATAGTTGCAGCATGTAAAATTGCTAGAATCTCTATCCACAAATAACAAGCTCATTTGAATAGCATTAAAAAGTACTTAGGAATCATAGCACCCAGATTGAAAACTGTATAAATTGATGAAGAAATTTGAGAAAGGCACAAATAGGGGTTTATGTTTTTATTATGATTACTGTAGCTATCTAGGAAATAGAGGAGAAGTTTTGCTTCCTAATTCCACTGCATGTATTGAAATCATCAGATTACTAGAGGAAAACCTCAGGGAAATAGTGCAAGTCATTGGTAGCATCAAGGCTTCTTGGATGAGATTACAGAAGCACAGGCAATAAGAGGCTCGGGGTGGCGGGGGGGGGGGCGGTAAGACAAATGTAATTATGTCAATTACATCAAATTACATAAATGACATCCAACACACACACCTACTGAGCAGGGGCCAGCACAGCATAGGTTAATCCTTTGCTTTGTGGCACCCACATCCCATTTGGTCACTGCTTCATGTCCTGGCTGTTTCACTTCTAATACAGGTCTCTGTTTATAACCTGGGGAAGCAGAGGAGGATGGCCCAAGTCCTTCGGCACATGCACCCTCTTGGGAGATTCAGAGGAAGCTTCTGACCCCCAGGTTTAGATCAGCTCAACTGTAGACACTGCAGACATGTGAGAAGTGAGCCAGCAGATGAAGATCTTCCCTTTCTTCATTTCGTACTCAACACTGTTGGTTAAGCATACTTGGAGGTAAGAGATCGCTTAGTCTTACCCTGTCATTTAAATTTTAAAATAAAGGCACAAGACGTTGAGATCATCTTTCAGAATCGCATGAGGGCTTTTCCAAGGTGGTGTGAGGAAGCCATGGGCAGCAAGAAAAGCTGGAGCTGTAATAGAGCGTTTAGATTTCAGGGATGGAAGGAAAATGAGAAGCTGTGTAGGGGGCTCAGAGTAATAAGGACACATGTTATTTCTCTGATAGGCAGTTTGGATGAAGAAGAGATTCATCAGTTGGGAGAGAAAGGAAATCACTATGGAATACTGAGAAAAGGGCTTTCTAAAACCACAGATCAATATGAGCTTAGGGAGCTAGAAGTCCTAGCTCCCAGTAAAATGCTACTCCTGCTCATGCCGATCAAGACAGTAAGAGCAGTTTGTTCATCCCACAGGATTGATGCAGTGTCAGGATAAAATCATACCACCATTCATGTAGATGCACCTTGTACATCAAGCACTAATGTCCAGCTCTCTCACAATCTTCACGCATTATGGAGATTAGGGTTGGTGACTGAAGCCCCACAGCATTCTTAGGTCTCAAATTTGTGTTTCTTCAGACTGTTTTTCATGTCTAAATTTTTCCAATTTTTGTTTTCTATCATTTCCACTTGCTTCTTTCCCCATCATCACCTTACACTTTCTCTCTTTACTGCCTTCAAGGGCTGATATCTTTTTATGTCATCCAAATCTTATCTTTCGCAAAGTAGCTCACAGGAACAATGTCAAGTCTCAAGATATTGGGATGATATACAAATTAATCCTGGAATAGTGACACAGGGACTGACATATTTCCAAAATCCTTGATCTAAGGGCAACTTCACTGAGGAAGAAATAGAGTGTGAGTGTCTGTTCAGGGTCTGTATTTTGGACATGCAGCACTAAGTCAGTGCTTTTCAGATGCAATGTGATTCTGTTCCTTTCCTTTGAAGAATTCGACAGGATTACTTTTCTCCATCTTCATTCAGGCTACTACTTTCAGTGCTCCCACTGCACCCCTCTGCTTTAGCCATCTTCATACCTGCTCTTCTCTGGAGTGGTTTCTTACCGTGTCTCCACACTTTGCTGTTATAGTTCATGCTGCCCATACATTCTGCAGGAATCCAAGACTTCACCTCTGTGAGCAGCCCAGGTTAGCTAACATGAAACTTGCTCAGCAAAGCCTCATACATCTCCTGTGTTGGGCTTTCCTCCATTATTTCCTGTAAAGTTTCACCACAGCTCTCTGCACTATTCATAACATAAATGCCTTTCATTGAAGCCCCTTTTTTTCTGAAAAATATACATGTTATAAATCAATGTTTTTGGAGTCATTTCTTATCCCAGGCTTTCACCTCAATAAAATCTTAGCATCACATTCTTTTTCTCCTTTCTTGTGTCTTATTTAGTGAATTGATCTATCCTTTCCTCCCACCTAGGCCCTTAGATACAGAGTATACAGGCTGTGTACTACATTCTGAAGGAGACATAGTAATTTCATTTTATTACTATTATTAGAATCATAGAGAGAATGAGAATGCTCATGCATCTTCTGCCTTTATCTCCCAAGATGGCTTCAATAGCCAAGACTGTATCAGAATGAAAACAGTTGTTTCAGGATCTCCTGCATGGGTCAAAACACTTGAGCTATCTTCAACTGCTTTAACCCAAGACATTAGCAGTGAGCTGAATCAGAATGGGGCTATCCGGATTTCAAACTGGTCCCCATTTTAAGATACCAGTGTTGTAGGCAGTGGCTTAATCCGCTACACTGTATTGCTAGCCCCAAAATAAACTTCTTGAGGGGAGCTTCAGGAGGAGTGGATTTCCTGAACAGCAAGAATTACTGATGTCCACTTATTCCAGATGCTGGCATCAGCACACGAAAATGCCGCACATTAATAACTCAATGCAAAAGTGCCTATAACCCACTGTGAAGAAACATTGGTAGCCTGTTTCTGGTGTTTGTTAGATGTCTTCAAAATAGGGAAGGCTCTCCTTTAGCTGCATGGTTGGTTCAACCTCCTGTTTCAATTGCCATTACCATATCCAAGCTCAAATTATGAAAATATCCTAGAAGAATAGGAGTTAAATTAGTAAGTTGTTTGCTTTGTCAAGAAGTGTGTGTGTGTTTTGTGGGGGAGTGTCACCATTCAACTTATATTTTTATTTTCAGGCTCTCAAATAGGGTCACATTGTGCTATTCTGATCGCTCTTTTCTGCCTCTGGGATACTGAAGGTCTTTCTGGACAGTGGCCCATCTACAGCTCAGCTATTTTCTGTTGATGTGCCGTATGTCTGGCTTCTACCCAAAAGCAGTGTGTTATGGAATGAGGGGCAACCACAGCCTGCAGCAAAGTGGCATTCTGCCTAAGGTTGATGGGACATGAAATCTCTGAGTAACCCTGGATGTAGTGTCTGATAAAAAAGAAGAGAGAGAGAGAAAGAGAGAGAGAGGCTATCTTGTCAAATAAAGCACAGCAATCTAAAAATATCATGAAACTATCATCTGGGGTGAGAAAGAATTGGAATCAACCTAGAAATAGGAATAGGTAGCATTCATATGTTAGTGTGCAAATGGGAAAGGAGAGACCAACATAAAAAAGAGGCATAACTATTGGATGGATAGATGAAGAATGGACATATAAAATTAAAGAATTATATCTAATATAATGTTGATATTATAATTATAAAATCATAACATATATAATATATGTGATTATATATATAATATATTACATATATACCTACTCACTGTGGAATACATCTCAGCTATAAAAAATAATGAAATCCTGTCTTTTGCAACAGAATAGATGTAACTGGAGCTTAGTGAAATAAAACACTCAAAAAATTATGTTTCTCTTGATCTGTGATAATACACAGAAGAGAGGAAGTTTAATCTGTATGACTGAAGTTGACTTGTTGAGATTTCATTCTTTCATCCTTTGTCTTCTTTTCTGTGAATTATTTACCTATAGGGGTGTTAAACCTGCAGCTGTGAAGTGGAGTGTACTCATCTCACTGCAAAACTCAAAAAAGAAAGAAAGAAGGAGGCTGGTGTATGGGAACCACAAGTAAGAGGCAGAGCAGAGTGGGGAAAATCACTACGCTCTTCAATTTGCATGGTGAAGCACATGCAATTCATTCAACTTACATTAATAAAATAGTTTAAAACATAGGAAGGAAGGAAGGAAAGAAGGAAGGAAGGAAGGAAGGAACGGAGGAAGGAAGGAAGGGAAAAGAAAGAGAAAAGAAAGAGAACTGAAAGCCTCTTCTTATTATGATAACTCTAAACCTCTTTGGTCCTGGCAATATTAATCTTACTTTTGTTTGTATGAATTTGATATCTTATCCTATTTCCTCAATATAAGTGAGATCATAGAATATTATTTCCACCATGCGGAGTTCATTTCACTGAGTGTAATGTCTTTCAGATTCGGCATGTTGCAAGATGTAACACAATTTCAGACTGAATAATTATCAATACATCATCCACTTACATGGCAGTACACACTTGAATTGCTTCTTGTTTTTCTGCTTTGAACTAGGCTTAAATATCTCTCATATGTATATGATTACAATGCTTCATTTTTAGCACGACCTGTCAGAATATTCCGTGAGACTTCAAGACATCTTATTTCCCATTTACCATAAGTACCAACTCACAGGAGTTCTGGATGTCAGCACATGAGTCAATTAATCATACTTCATCAAATAATCAATATATTTGAGCAAAAAAGTTTTAATCATAATAAGAATAATCTACGACAAAATGAAAAGTAGCTAATTAAGTATTAATAATTAATAATTATTTCTAGTTGCTTATTTTTCACTTTTTGATAATCATTTCATATATCATGTTCTCTTAATACTGTGAATCATACCTATTGATTTACAAATGATAAGAACAAAATGACAACTTTCTTCCTTATCTGTACTCTTTGAAAGCATACATGTGAATTCAATTGAAAATGTGTTTTCCTGGACCCTGCGCGGTAGCCTAGCACCTAACGTCCTCGCCTTGCACCCACCAGGATCTCATATGGACGCCAGTTCTAATCCCAGTGGCCCCAGTTACAATCCAGCTCCCTGTTTGTGGCCTGGGAAAGCAGTCGAGAACAGCCCAAAGCCTTGGGACCCTGCACTGCTTGGAAGACCTGCAAAAGGCTCCAGGCTCCTGGCTTCATATCGGTTCCGCTCAGGCCATTGTGGCTGCTTGTGGAGTGAATCAGTGGACAGAAGATCTTTCTCTCTATGTCTATTCCTCTCTGTATGTCTGATTTTCCAATAAAAAATAGATAAAAAAAATTTATTTAATAAAATGTATTTTCATTATTATTTAACATCTGTGTCCATTTCAATCTTTCGTTGTCCTTGCCAGATATTGACATTTAGAAAATTATTGCCTAAGAAATTAGCTGAAATATTACATTTAAGTGTGAGTGGTTTACATAGAATTTTTTCACCCAAATTCAGTAAAATGTGTAATCCTATATGTTGGAAAATGTCATGGCTAGTGTGTAACATTCAGATTACTCTTTTGTGCCAGCTTTGCTAAATTTTTTGACTGTTTCGTACAAAGTGCTGAGTTATTATCAAAAGCTTGCCTTACACTCACAGACACTGAATTGTTTATGCATGCCCAATGATCCTCAAAGGAAATAATAACATGTTTCTTGACAAACTTGCATTCTACATACATAAAATCATGCATATTTTTATGAATGTGCAAAAATTATAGGAAAAAAGTTGTGAACAATTTTGGACAGGATGATGGAAATTTATCACATTACATGAGAACTAAGGCAATGAAGAAAAATGAAGACATAAAGAGAGAAAGTGAACAGATATCAGTTAAGCTATTGTTTCCTATTTGTTTTAACACTATTGCTATTATAATATGTAGTATGTTTACCTTTTGCCTTTATTAAATTCTCTAATTACTTTAATATTATATATGCACATTTAATTAACCCTGTTGAAAAACAGGAGATTATGGTGGTGAAGGACACATACAGAAATCCAATGAATGCCTTTTCTTGTAGGGCAATGGAGCAGATTGTGTCAACTTCTTAGCAAAAAGTGCCCTGAAGCATTTTCAAAATAACCAGACACGTTTCCATGATCAGCTATCTAATGATAAGCAGAGAAGAAACATAGAATGTGCCTATCAACTGTGTTATTATTACTCATGAATGGAGATAGGAATTTCAGTGTTCAGAGTACATCACAATCGTCTTGATCAACCCCAACAGCCCATCTGAATGGCACAGAGTAAAAGGCAGAAATCTAATTGCTGTCTGAGGCAGATAAGTCTTCCTCAATTAGGAATGATGTGGATTAAAATAAAGGGCCTCTTGTAAGGATCTTTCTCTTCCCAGTTGAGGATGTGTAGTGAAAATACGTCTCAAGTGCTTCCCATGAGAATGGATTTTCCATTCTGGCTAGTGGTTTTGACACAGTAATTGTTGCACCCCTGACATGGCTCAAGCTAACTTCCCTGACCCCATGTCCTTCCCTCACTCCATGTTATGCTTCTCTGATATTATGTATTTTTTTGCACCCAGGTTGTATTAAATTTGTTATAACAAAACTTAATTTCCATAGAGAAATTTTTGTTCTTTAGATAAGATTGCACACTGTCTCAGTATAGTCTATTCGATACTCTGTTTATTTCGAACATTCAAAGGAATATAAACTATATAAAAGGAATATATAAAATTATGTATTAATTGTATGTGCTTGTGTTTTTTCAATTAAAATATTTATTCTTTAAAATATAATTCATTGTGGATTAATTAAATCTATCTTAATCTATGTTCTATAGAGCATTTTTGAATGAATAAACAATGTTCAACTTTCCAATATGGAAGATCTCATTTTCTTTCTGTGTGCCTCTCCTCTCTGTGTAACTCTGCTTTTCAAATATTAATAAATCTTCTTCAAAACAGCCTGAAAATTCAGAATCATGTTAGAAGAAATGATGCCATTATCAATATTTTGATGACAACATATTGAACATTAGGTGAATTATAATTTAAAATACAAAATATACTGATTTATGGTAAAGCTAATATACTAACATCTATTTTTTAAAGAT